GTTCAAACCCAGCCTTCACCACAGCGGTGGACCGATCATGATTTGGGCACCTTGCAGTCACTGAGTGTACTGTGACCTCACCAAAGTGTTCTAGAGCCAAATGTGAGGCTGTGTCCCACAGCTAAAGCAAACTGGGTCATCAACAGGACGACGATCCCGAGCACAGCAGCACATTTCCAACTTAAAAAAAGGAGGAGCTGCAGTGATCCAGACCTCAGCCTGACTGAGAGGCTGTGATCTTTTCAGTCTTTTCTGTGCATAAATGAATGTTGCAAACCTCAATGATCTGATCAACGCTATAAAGAAGAGTGGGCCAAAACTCCTCCACAGTGATGTGACAGACTGATGAAGTCACACAGGAAACCATCACTGCTGAAGGAGGTTGCATTTGAAAATGATTAGGCACATTATCAAAGATGCACAGCAGAGGTTTGTGCAGACATATTTACTCATTATTGTAGTGACGATGAAGGTAAAAGTACTGTTCTTCCTTCCCGGACCCATAACGTGAATCAGACTATTAGTTGTGCTCTGGTGGGCGGAGCTGGAGATGCTGATTGTGTTGTTGCCGTGGATGGAGCCTTCAGTGAAGCTGTGTGACTGTGACGTAGAAGTATAACCTGTGGAGGAAAAAGTCTTTAAAATGTTGCTTTGAGGCAAATCCACCAAACCTTTGGAGCTGATCTGACTGATGATGTTTTCATATCTGTGAGCACAAAAATTATTCAGTTACAAGCGAGACGGCTCAGGATGGCTGCTGAGGACTCTGGCATGGAGCAATGTGTGAAATACTGATGTTCTGTCAGATGCTGCAGGCGTCTCACCATTGCAGACAAAGTGTCCTGACTCTTGGGTTTATTTGTGTAACCTTGTGTTTTCCTTTTGCTCCTGATTTCGGTGCTCACAGTTAGTTAATTAGGTTTAGGTAGAAGTTGTAGTTTCAGTTCAAAGCACCGTCCTTCACAACATTAAGCTTGCACACTGCCACTCACCAGTCAACACAGACAGCCAGTCAGTCACACCCGATGGGTACTTTAGAGTCACCAGTTAACCTAAACCCACTAACTGTATGTCTTTGGACTGGGAGGACGTCGGAGTACCCGCAGAGCAAACACTGGAAAAAGTGAACACAGCCACATGGTTGATGTTCTTGCTGTGAGGCAACGGAGTTAACCACCATGCTGCAACTCCTCGGGCTTCCACTGGTCCGTTGCCTCGCTCTGTGGGCCCAGTAAACACTTTCCTGATGGGTTTATGGTCTCAGTCGCTGGTTTGAAGTCTTGTTGAATAAAACGTGGTGTTAATTAAGAAATTTATGATCCAATTAGAGATAGAGGAGGACGTGCTTTAACGCAAGTCATAATTGTGTGACTGTGCAGCGTTCCTCAGTTTCTCAGTCACGTCCATCGATCACTCGGCACGTCCAGTTTTGAACTGCGGTGTTGGATCAGCACAAATGAGACTGGAGCCTTTATGTTCTTCAAGTTCATTCTCAATCTGACGTTTTATACGGTCGGTTTTAAATGTAGAAGTAATGGCACATTAGGTGTTGTTTCACAAAAGCATTCATACTCATTACAGCTGCAATTAACCCCCAAATGACATCGGATCATTGATTAAACAGTCTGCAGAGCTGCAGGAAGGGAGAATAATGAAAGAGTGGTGCAAAAGTGAGAGCCGGGACTGTGAACCAAAATTACAAGAGAAGACACCTGAAGCTTCTTTAAATGGATCTGTTTCATTACAGCCTGATAGACTGCGAGCGTGATTTTCTCTCTTTTTTTTTTTTTGATAATTGACATTTTAGAGCAGCGCGGGCTTCTGTGTGCGGCAGGAAGGCGTAGGAATACTGATTGTGCTGTTAGTCCTGTCATCAGGTCACAGACGAGCCCGCTCACTCTTTAATTACATTTTAGATTCATGTCCTAATCAGACGCTGAGACGCTCACCTTTTGGCTGCATCACAGCTTCACTTCAGTTCACCAAGGTGTGAGCAAATTCACATTTAACCTTGAAAAGATGAAATATGACCATCCTCTTCAGATTCTGTCAAACAGGCGCTTAGAGGAAACAATCAAAGAGCTGATTTTAGCTACAGTCATACATTTATTCTTATTTCAGTTTAGTTCCCAACAGGAAGCCAGGGGAGAACAGAGGAAGGAAGGATACAAGCACCAGGTGGAGAACAGGTAACAGGAAGGAGTGGGTTAAGGGTCATTCGGCTCATTTCCAGCAGCGTTTTTACTCTGTTATAGGAGAAGCGGAAATGGCCCATCAGTCATGAGATGGGCTTGACAGGGGTAAGTGTTTTGTGGTTAAGAGGTGACCCAGTTGCCAAAGAACACCTGAAATTTGGTCCATGTGAGCTGAAGCTATGGCTAAATTTAGTCAGCCAGACAGACCCTGAATCATAGCTGTCAGCCAAGTCTGAATGCAGCCCACATTTAGGCCAAACACAGATTGCTCTCTAGGTTAGAATAACTGCCCATAGGTGATGCAACAGTAGATTAACAGGAATCATGGGAGCTGAAACTGTAGAATAAAAGTACCAATTAGACATAAAAGCTATTCTTCTGAATGCACTGTTGAGCTAACGGGACTTCCAGAATCTCAGAGAGTTTCTGCAGGACTGACGTTGAGTTTCTGTTCTTTTTCTTTCACCACAGGAAACCTAAATCGTCCTCAGCATCAGTGTGATCAGAGTGTGTCTTCATCTGCTGTTCAGCGAGTATGGCTCTGTGCGTGTGTGGGCGTCGGTGTTTGGGCTGGTTATAGATGGGCCCGCCTGCTGCCCGTGACACTGCACGGGCTGAATTATAGCTCGTGTTGTGGCTGCTGATCTGTGACCTGCAGGGTCCCGTGAGCTCTGATGAACTCACCGAGGCCCGAGTGTGCCAGGAAGAAATATAATGAAGCCAAGAGGACACTCGAACCTGAAACTAGAACAATCTGAGAAAGAGTCACACTTTTTCTTTTTTACACATTCAGTATTGCTCCACATCACAAAGTTATGAGGTTAGCAACCACGAGCAAAGAAGTTTAATCACATGACAAACTTGTAATTGACAATTAGAACTTCTTTCTGACTCTCAATAATCCCAGAACATCCCATGGAGCCCACCCTGTCCGAAATCCTCACTCTGATCTAAATACAAGAGAAAGCGAAGCACTTCCTTAAAAACTGTACTCAAAAACACACAAACTAAAAATGCTGTTGGATATAAATTGCTAATGCTACCCAGTCATATGCAAAGTGTTAAGGCTAATATGTGACCCACCTGCCACTGAGACAAACCTTAATACAAGAGCAGTAAATCTAGGTCAGAGCAATGAGTAATATCACAAACTAACCACCTGCTGTTACCAGTTTTAATTGATGATAAGAGGCAACGAGTCTTTTACAGCTGTGGAGGAATTTTGGCCCATTCAGCTTTGCAGAATTGTTATAATTCAGCCACACATGAGCCGCCTTCAAAGGTCATGTCACAGCATCTTAATCGGATTCGGGTCAGGATCGAGTGGCTTAAGAAAAGCAAAATGAAGACTCTGGATCGGCCTAGTCAGAGGTGGACTTGCTGGTGTATTATGGTTTGGTGTAATGGGACACACACCTTCCAAAAACTTCAGCTTTTGTCTCGTCAGTCTACAGAATATTTTCCCAAAAGTTTTGGGGATCATCCAGATATTTTTCTTTATGTTCCTTTTGCTCAGCATTGGTTTTCTGCCATGCAGGCCATTTTTGCCAGGTCTCTTTCTTACGGTGGAGTCATGAACTCTGGCCTGCAGTTCTTTGGACGTTGTTCTGGGGTCTTTTGTCACCTCTTGGATGAGTTGCCGCTGCGCTCTTGGGGTACTTCTCTTCTGCTGGCCAATCCTGGGAAGGTTCACCACTGTTCCATGTTCTTGCCATTTGTGGAAATTGGCTCTCACTTGGCTGGAGTCCCTCTGCTTTAGAAATGGCTTTATAACCTTTTCCAGACTGAGAAATCTCAGTTACTTTGTTTCTCATTTGTACCTGAATTTCCTTGGATCCCGGCATGATGTCTGGCTTTTGAGGATCTTTTGGTCTGCTCCACCTCGTCAGGCAGGTCCTATTTAAGTGATTTCTTGATTGTGAACAGGTATGACAGTAATCAGGCCTGGGTGTGGCTAGAAACTGAATTCAGCTTTCCAAAGATGTGATACATGACAGCTAATTTATGTAATGACGGGTCGGTGACAATCAGTTTTTCACACAGGGACACGCAGGTTTGGATTATTTTCCTTTTAATAACAAACACCATAATTTAGAAACTGCATTTTGTGTTTACATTTGTTATCTTTGTCTAATATTTGAATTTGTTTGATGATCTGAAACTGTGACAAACATACATTCGAAAAACCCCATGACATAACACAACAATGGAGGACATCTAGGCGATGTTTTGTCAGACTGCCGGAGAGATCGGGTGTCTTGGCTACACCTTGGTGTCCCCTTAGAAATGGTGGAGGAGGTGACTGTGGAGTTGGGTGGATGTCTCTGCCCTCGTGACCATGACCCAGATTTTTGTCAGAAAATGGATCAACAGATCGTTCTAATCATTTAAGAAAGAGTTCTCTGCTTTGGGATTTTCATCCCGACTCCAGCTCTGTGCTATAAACATCTTTTGTTTAATGCGATGGAACAAAAGCAAATGAATGTGACTAATACAGCTTTTAAAACGACTTAATAATGCCTGGCAGTGTGCAGAGGATCATCTTGAGTCACTGTGTCTTTATTTGTGAGCCTGACGTGGTTTCAGTTCGTATCAGTCCGCCACACTAACGTTCATTTTATCCTTTTCTCTCCCCCCATGCATTCATTTCCATCCTTGTCTCCTGCCCACTAATCGCCTCATCCTCTGCACCTGCTCCCCCCCCCTTTATTCCCAACTCGATTCACCTTGTTTCCTCCACCTCTTCTTCCCTCTTTACATCTACATCTCCCTCTCTCCTTCCTCTCCCTTTCTCTCTCCTCTCAGGTGAGAAGTGTCGGAGCTTCATTGATTTGGCCCCGGCATCGGAGAGAGGTGAGTGATGATGGTCATTAGGCAGCTTCTCCACTCCCATGCCAGCTCCCCACTGTTTCATGGGCAAGGGGAAAAAACCAAACACACACACACACACACACACACACACACACACACACACACACACACACACACACACACACTCTTTCGTTTTTGGACTCTTTCACTGTTTCAGAGGGTTTTCACCTGTGGTGCACTAAGAAAAATGTGAATTCTGGACTCTCAGAGTTTTTTATTACCTCTCACCTCCTGGACGACTGTAGTGCTGTGCCCTTGTGTGTTATGAGTTCACATCTAAAATGACAATAACAAGCGTGTTTGTGTGGGACACGTCACCAACGCTGCACGGTCATTTTGACATATCAAACTTGAAATAAACTCACAGTGGAGGTTACAGGTTTGGTGTTTACCTTGTGATTTTAATCTGAAGGAGACTTTTCCAACTCTCTCTGGAGATAAAAGCTGAAGTTTCTTTCTTCTTCCTGCATATACTCTTTATTCCCTTTTTCTATCCCTGAAACTGTTAAACTTCTTTTAACTACTAAGTAGTAAGTAAGTAAGTAAAATTTATTTATATAGCATATTTCACAGATAAAAATCACAAAGTGCTTCAGAATAAATTCAGAAATACAAATAAAATATAAAACAGTGAAAAAAATGTTTGTATAAAAATGTCTTCAGCTGCTTTTTAAAGGAGTCGATGGAGTCTAGACCGCGTAACGACAACAGCAGGGAGTCCCACAGCCTGAAAAGCCCGATCCCCACGTGTTTTAAACCCAGTACGTGGGACCACCAGTAACCTCTGACCTGACGACCTAAGTGCTCGGGATGAAGCATGAGGTTTCAGCAGGTCAGAGATATACTGGGGAGCTTCACCGTGCAGAGCTCTAAAAGTTACAACTAAAATTTTAAAATGACCCCTAAAATTTACAGGCAACCAATGAAGAGAAGCCAAAACTGGAGTAATGTGTGACCTCTTGTTTGTACCAGTTAAAAGTCTTGCCGCTGCATTCTGTACAGACTGAAGGCGATCCAGAGCTGATTTGTTGAGACAAGTAAAAAGACCGTTACAATAATCCAAACGAGAAGAGATAAAAGCAGGAATCATCTTAAGTTCTGCCTTTGACACCAGTCTGAGTTTGGAAATGTTTCTTAGATGATAAAAACGGTTCCGGACAAGTTGTTTCTCAAGAGACATTGAACTGTCAAATATCTACGTTTCTGAGACGCGACTGAAATGAAGGGTCTAAAAAAACTGAAGTGCTGCTTATTTTCTGAGAGCATGTGATCAGGTGCAATAATCAAGGTTTCTGTTTTATCTGCATTTAACTGAAGGAAATTGTCATTTAACCATTGTTTGATCTCAGACAGACAATTATTTAAAGACGACAATTTATAAAACTCAGAAGCTTTGAAAGAACAGTACAACTGAATGTCATCAGCATAGAGATAAGAAATATGTAACGTCTGATAATTTGGCCTAGAGGGAGGATATACAGCAAAAAGAGAATCGGACCTAAAACGGATCCTTGAGGTGCCCCAGAAGGCAGAACTGATGTTTCAGACAACACATGATTCATACAGACAGTAAAGGATCTCTCAGATACGACATAAACCATTTAAAACAACACCAGTAATCCCAAACAAGTCCTTCAGCCTATTTATCAGGATGCTGTGATCAACAGTATCAAAAGCAGAGCTGAGATCCAACAGAACCAGAACAGTGTACTCTCCTGACTCTGCTGCCATCAGAGACACTTTAAGCAAAGCGGTTTCAGTGGAGTGTAATTTGCAGAACCCGGACTGGAAAATACCTGTAACTGCTTGGAAGAGATGGGTCCAAATTAGGTTTCTTTAACATTAGTTCAACAATAGCTTGTTTAAAATAGCTGGAAACTGAGCCAGTATAAAGAGAAGTATTAATTATTTCCAGAATGCAGGAGCCAATAGAGTCAAACACACTAATGAAGAAGTACATCAAGGTGGCTTGAAGTCAGTTTCATCTGACCAAGCAGACACTGATGTCCTGTAAGGTAACAGGAGTAAAAGAGGAGCAGGTATCAGAGGTAAGCACGTGTGATACTGAGAGGATGATGGAGAAATATTCGACCTGACGGCAGCAACCTTATTAACAAAATAGATTAAAAAGTCATTACAATCAGATTTAGTATAGACTGGTACATGAGGAATTTCAGGAGAGACAATGTTCTTAATCGTATCAAACGACACTCTGGGATTTTTCTTTTTTAAGCTATTAGATTAGCAAAACATTTTTTATCCTGTCGTTAAGTGAGAAAATTGATTCCTTGAGATGTACCCTATGAACCTCAAGCTTGGAAGCCTTCCATAAATGTTCTAACAGCCATCTCCTGCTTCCAATTATCTCTGTCAGGTCAGCGGGATGCATCTGACAAAACTCAGTGTCTCAGTATTCCTGCTCACTTGACTTTCTTTGTGGTATCTTCCATCGTATCCATCTGGAATCTGCTCAACACTTCATGGTGATCTGCAACTTTCACTGTTAAGCAGCAAAACCCAGGTTAACTTCTACTTTACTGCTTCCTTCACATCCATCAGGAAATTAAACTCACTGCAGGGAAGTGAAAGTCCTTTGAAGCCGATCAAAATGTGGGACATCGACATTCAGCCTCCTTGTCTGATGTATTCAGACAAGGAGGCTGAATAAAAATGTCCCACATAAACTGTGACATCTGCTCGGCCAGACTGCAGGGCTGCAACTGCCTTTCCAAAGCTCGTTCTACAGGAAGTATGCGGAGAGTTGGGACATGCTACCTTAAATAAGGTCACGTGGACTAACCTTTGACCCCTTTCTGTAATTACAACTGGTGCTGAAGTTTGTGGTACCATGCAGGTAAGATTGATGCAATCTTCCAAAAGTAACATAGCTGCATTTTTTTGTTTTTTAAACTGCATTTACCACAAACCCCTCTGTCTAATTATAAAAACAACTCAAAGCACTTTAAAACTTGTGATTAGAAGATTCCAGTCATTACCGCCATCATTGCAGAGGAAAGAGTGTGTATTTATTTATATGTTCAGTTTACCAAACGTAGCAGGAGATGACAGTCAAATATATAGACTGTTTATAAAGGTTGGACTTTAGTCCTTGGATAGTTTCAAACTTCATCTTTCACGTTTTCCACGAACAATTTAATATTTTTCTGTTTTTAAAATACAGAAGTTCTGTATTTGGTACAGAGGGTGGCTAATGTTAGCTGTCGTGAGTAGCGTGTCAGATCCTTGGACGTATGCATGCAGAAAATAGACACAGATACCTGCTACCTGGTGCTAATCAACATCCAGTCAAATTCATGAAATTTTACTCACTATAACTGGAGCTCAGACTCCTTGGACAGCCTGTTAGTCACCTCACAGCGGCCATATTATTGGACAGATGATGTCATTAAAAATGCTCCAAAAGGCTCCAACAGCACAAACACGGTCCAGAGGTCCAGTTCAGGGTCTCGCCAAGAGGCCGCACCCCTAAAAAAAGGAAAGAAATTTAAGAAATGAACTAAAGTGACTAAAACAGTTTTTGCAGATTTACTGCTGGAGCCTCTAGTGGACATTAAAGGAACTGCAGTATTTGGTAGATCAAAATAAAAGTTATGTCTCTTGTCTCCAAATATTTAGACAAGAGCTTCTAAATAACTGTCAAACTGCAGCCATGATGCGATACCAAGAGGCTTCTAGAGGCACTTTAGTTAAACCAGCAATACCAGCACCATTACAGCACTGATTAGTTAGAAACTGGGACCAGTGTAAGACCAGTTCCCACCACCGAAAAATGCAATGAGAAGTTTGCTGTCACAGCTGGAATTGAAATATAATGGAGCACATCTGTAGATAGTTTATATCTAAGGAAAGTCATAGTTGATCTATGAGTTGAAGAGAGAAATGGGAAAATGAGGAAAATAGTGGAATACATCTCTAAACTGGGTCTTCGGAAAAGTGATTTTAAGATTCTGAGATTCATTGAAAGCATCCTGAGGCCGTCATCGTTATTATATTGACAAAGGAGGGGGAAGAGGCAAAGTGACACTTATTAATTGATATGAAACAGGCTGAGTCTTTTCCTGTGTGGTGTCACTGGTGATTTATGGAAGTTATTGGAGCCTGTCGCCTAACAAAGGTGAGGATGTGGCCGTATGTTCACATCAAAACTTTAGACAGATTTTAAGCAACGTTTCCAAAGTTTGCTTTTGCCGACTGTAACCTGACCAGAACATGAAAGGCTTACCTCATGAGAAGGTCCTCTTGTATAACCTTAAACTCTTTTTAAACCCAAATGAAGTGCAGAATATATTAAGAAGAGGATGCTGAATAATGAGGGAATATTGCAGCTCATCAAGATTCATCCTAACTGCAGATAAGAGCAGATTATTTCATGTTGTTTATATCCTGCAGCGAATGAAAGGAATATTTGAGCATCCAGAAGAAAGGGAATATTTTGGTGCATGTGGGGCGTTGCCTCTAATTCTCTGCTTCATGCAGAGCAGGTAGTTAATAATGAAAGTTCTGCGATGGTTTCATCTGTTAATGCCATCTGGAAGAGCAGGAGTGATGCATGGAGCAGAGGTGGATGATATGATGTATTGAGCGGGGTGACCTTGCTTCCCACACAAGGATACGATATGTTAATCTGCCTTCCTTTGGGCCCGACATGCCTGCTGCTGGGTTTTATAACACGCAGCTGCTCCTCAGTCAGATCCAAGTCTGCTCTTAATGAAAAGTGAAACAAAAAAAACAACTCTTAATTTGATTAGACGGAAAGAGTCAGCGAGAGCGAATCGAAGCCAGGATTCAAGTCCCGCCCACTCCAGCAGAACCAGACCCACTTGAGAGATGACACGACAAACGCCATTTATTTTTCTTTACATCTGTGTGTCATTAAGATCAAACATGCAGATCATGCACGAACATGTAGCTGGCTATCAGTGGTGACTGCATGGGTGCTGTAAACTAATATAAACTCTTTGGAACAGGGAATTATGAAAACTGTGATTGGGATTCAGACGTGCGTACCATAGGAAAAGATTACAGCAGGGGTGTCAAACATGAGGCTCGGGGTCCAGAATCAACCCAGCAAAGACTCCAGTTCAGCCTCACTGGACATCGAAAGGAATAAGCTTTGGACTCTAACTGTATTTTTATGCTACACAAAAGTTATTCGATCATAGATTAAAATGTTTTTTTCTATCTGCTATAGAAATGTTTTATATTAAAATATCTGAAGGATCAAATGTGTAGTTAAACTTCTTTAAACTGACACTTAACATCAAAGTGTGCTGCATCTGATCCACGATGTAAGATGGGTCTGACATCCTGGAGTTTAAAGAGGTTCAGCTGCTGGGCCACTTCTGTTTATTTTCATATGCAAACAGACTTTTAACTTTTCATGAGACCCTTCGTTGTCTGCTCTCATCTTATTTGCCAAGTTACATTTGTCAGAAAGGTGTGGGTAGTTATCGTCTTTGGTCCCAAGACTTATTTTGTGCGAACGTTTGCACTAAATTCCAAAAAAATGTAAATTTGCAGCCTTAGCTGCTGCATCTTTTTGCGTCTCTCAGCTTTCAGTTTTGTAACTGAAAAGCTGGTGGGTTGAGATCAGGAAACTAACTGGGCCATCAAATCTCATTTCGTTTCCTTGGGAAAGTCTTGAGTTGCTTTTGCAGTTTGCTTTGGATAATTATCTGCACTGTGAGGCTCTGCCTGATCAGCTTTGGCTGAATCTGAACAGGAAGTTGAGCTCTGCTGCTTCTATCAGCAGTCGGTGATCAATAGGCACCAGTGACCCGGTGCCATTGGCAGCCACACAGTCCAGTGCCATAACACTACTTTTTCAACTGTCTTAAATATTAGCCAAATCAGAGGTAATATGATTAGATAACTGGTCAGAAACTCAGTCACTGGTCAGTCTCCACCAATGGCAGAAACAGATATTTTTACACCCTTGTACAAAAGGTCATTAAATGTTACATTAAATGTTTGGTCATTACTGATAATTTTACCGTTCGTGGAAACTCGATGCTTGAAATAAAGGGCATGGCCTTAATGGCTGACAGCTGGATGGTGAAGCGGGTGGTTATAGTTGTAGCTGGTCCTGGTACTGTGCTCACAGGCCATCCAAAAGTCTCCAGTTTCTAGGAATTTCAGGAATTAATTTGGAAGTTACTGAGCAGGCCTGTCTGTCTGTGTCCTGCTCCCATACAGTCTATGGATAACTAAGCTAGTTAGTGTTGGCCGAACACTTAGCACTCCACCCTCTCATCCGAATTTGGACACTTTCAACTCCTAAAATGTGATAAAACTGAAAGCCAGTTTGATCCCAGGAGAAGACACAAATCCCTTTGGAACACTCAAACCTACCTGCTGGGGTGACAGCAGGTAAAACCATCTTATCGAGTATCAGGTTAAACTGTTACAGCAGCATTAATTCACCAGAATTTGCATTTGATGACATGAAAATGTTTTTAAAAACTCTAAAACCCAAAAAATGAAATGTATTAACCCAAGAAACTGTTGACTTCACACACCACTGACAAGCTCAGGCAAACACACACACTCGCGCGCACAGAGTAATTAAAGGTGTAATTATATCATTTACATGAGACTTGGTCTGATGAGCTGCTTCCTTCCTGTTATCAGGAAGTGTTGGTTTAGTCCTTCACAGCACATTTTATTTTCTGCCTTCAGTCTAATGAAGTCTGCTCAGTCTACTGGTGCATATTCAATAAGACAGAAACAGGGGAGAAAATTGTTTTTGGTCAATATTGTTGCACTCTGAATTCCCCCGCAGGCGGTTATACCTCTGGAATTTGTTTGTATCGACTGTGTGGAAATTACAGCGGCGGCTAATGAGAAATCAGAGAGCGTGGAGTCAAATTCGTGCGACCTGCGGGGTCACGCCGGTTACAGGGTTTCGAGTCAGAGCAGCGTCTCTTGTCATCTTTCATCTCTCGCTGGGAGTTTGATGTGATTAAATAAGCGGATTGATGCAGGACGAGCTCGGAAGCATCTGAATAAAATCTGCTCGTGTGGCTGATGAGAGAGAAAGTTTCCGAGCTGCTTCTTTGTGTCAGCGTTGGGCTGCCGCTGCACATGTGCTTTATTTTCCTCCTCTCAGCACTTACACTTCACATTGGGAGAAACTCACATGAGTAGAAGACACTTTGTGCGCTGAACTGATAACTGACACAGGGCATGCTGGCCTTGCTCGTACTGGGAAATATTTATCCTGTTCTCATTTCCGGGGTGTCAGATTCTGCTGCGCCGTCAAACCTGCTCGTATCTCCACAAGCACAAGGCGTCCTTCGGCATCTGTGCCCGACGAGTCTCGCAGCACCAGCTCCTGACATATAAAGCACCGGCGCATTTAGGTTCAATTTATTCATTATATATTTTATTATATTTTCAGGTAATAACATCTTTAGATGCTTAATAAAGCTGGCTAGATTCTGGTTTCCGCTTCAATAGCAGATGTCATATGAGTCAGTCAGGTGCTCTTTTAGTTTGACCATTAGGTATTTTTATTCATGCGTTCATGCATCCCTCCACCTTTTCCACCTGTCTGTCTACCCTAGCCATCCATCCATCCTTTACCAATTATCAGGTCCCCATCGCAGCAGAGACGTCCTGGGTCTGTCCCAGGACCTCCTCCCAGGAACACTTGACCTAGGAGGCATCCAGGAGGCACTTTAGTCAGATGCCCACGCCACCTCCTTCCTTTTGATGTGGATTGATCTAGTCTGAGATCATCCCACATGACTGAGCTCCACCTTATCTGTGTCACTGCTCGTGTGAACTGTGATGTCAATGCACCCGATAACTGTTGTTTACTTCTAAACAGCAAAACAAACTAAATTTGTTGTGCTGGACTGTGAACAGGTTTCTCCTGCTTATCTGACAGCAGTCTAAGCAGAGACACACAGACTCTTCCTCTTTATCTCCATGGTGCCAATATTCAAATGATCTGTATTGGCTAAAGTGGATGGAAGTGTCGTTCCCTGACTTTAAAGCAGTGCTACCACATGAAATACACAGTCTGGCTTCTCCTTTGCAGTTGTTTGAAGTTAAAGATGCTCGTTAAGATTCATTAAGGAGTCGGAAATGATTATTAGACCGTTTGGAAGAAATATGTCCACGTGGAGACGATGACATGGATGAAAGGTTAGCATCCTGATGCAGAGGAAACAGTAGTTGGTTGCCACCTTGCCTAGAGAAAAGAGCAAAGACAAAATTAGTGATCATTATTCCCAGTTTGGGGGTTTTGAAGCGCCGCACCAAAACTCACTGACATTCAAATTGAAAATTCAGCCTGGAGGTTGTAATTTTACCTCCTCTTCATCCTCAGCAGAGCAGAGCGGAGAGGAGCAGATAATCCTGTTTAATTCTGTGTCGTGAGGAGCTTTTTGCCTTTTTAGAAATAATACGTGTGGAGAAAAGAAGCGTGGTAGTGAGAGCGGACCCCAAGGGCAGCTTCTGCTACTGGATGACATCTCTTCTGTGCTTTAAAAATGTCATACGGTACAGCGGGGTTGTAACAGCTGTTCATCATCCTTTATAATGTCTCTCTGAGCTCTGCAGGGTTTTTTCCCTGTCTATGACCAGAGGGCTCAAACACCTTCCTCTCCTCCTCTGGGATGATGAGAAACAAATAACCTCACCTTGTTTTGAGCTCTAAGTGCCGTGTCCTCACTACAGAGGAGAGATGTGTCATTATCCGAGAATTCATCAAAGTTTCATCACAGGTTTGTGGCTTATTGGACAGCAGATGAATGAATGGCTGAAGTTGGAACAAATGGGAGACAAAGTTTCTCTCCAGCGTTTTGAGCCCTCGTAGCTTCAGAAGTCCGGGACGCATCCATGTGAGGTCTGTCTGACTGAGCGCTCTGTTGGTGTCTGTAGGCGTGCTGTGGTTGTCCGTGGTGTCCGAGGTGCTCTACATCCTGCTGCTGGTGGTCGGCTTCAGCCTCATGTGTCTCGAGCTTTTCCACTCCAGCAACGTCATCGACGGACTCAAACTCAACGCCTTCGCCGCCGTTTTCACCGTGCTGTCCGGTAAGATGCAAGTTTCCTTTCTTCTTCTTCTTCTTCTTCTGCTTCCTCTTCCTGCTTTTTCTCTTTTTTTATTCTTCACTTCTTCTTCTCTGTTGGTTTTCCTGGCAAAAGATAATTCGTGTCCAGTGAAATTTGGCATCAGGAACATCCTTTAAACACCACTGGGCATCATTTACATTTATTCTGAGTATTGCAGTGAGAATCAGCAGCAGAGCGGACAGAGCCTGAGGCAGATTTGTGAGGTCGTCCAGGGTCAGAGGTTATCCCATGGCAGCCTCGGATGTGGCGGTGCCAGGGATTTTTTCCCCAATTTACGCTAAACCTCTTACACAAGAAGCTGGCGATGCGTCCGTCACTCTGCTCCTCTCAGAGGACAGCGGCACATTTTACAGCATTTATGCAGCAAACCTCTGAAGCACGCTCCCTTAATCACTTCATATCACAAGTGACACTTCTGCTCTGAATTATGTAAAAACCTCATGCTCATTCTCCACCAGGGAAAGGTAATTGACATTTTGAAAACTATTACACAGCAGAGATAAAAATCCAGGCCTTCCCTCTGCTCACGTACTCCAAAAACCAGGCGTAGCCAGCGAGGGCCGGATCTGTCTGTGGAGCTGTCAATCACACATCATTAGCTCTGATCATTTACAAAAGACACTTGATGATTTGTTCAGTTTGACCTAAAATAAGCAACAGAGGTCACAGAGAAAAGAAGCCAGGGTCATTTTGCCTCAGACTTTTTACAGCCACAGAGGTCGCCCCCTGGTGGGCACTAAATGGAATGCAGGTTTAAAGCACTTTTGCATCGGCTTCACTTTTCAGACCTGCAGCTACATCTAAGGAGACCAACGTGTATACTCCACACCTGAGCCCTGCATTCTCAGGAGCCCAAAACAAACTTCTGCAAAGAGCCCCTACCCCACTGTGAGCCACATAAACTATTTATCACTGCCACAAATTAAGTTTCCCTAAAAAGTTTTCCACTTCTTCGTGCTAAATGCAATACATAATCTCACCAGCAAGTTGTGGCTCTACCCAAAGGCCTACTCGCTGTCTGAGAGCACCCAGGCGGCGTCCTGATTGGATGCCACCTATAGCATTTGGCCTGAACCCAGCCACCTGATGAGGACTCCCACCTGTTTTACCAGGCTCCGCCTTTCCCCTCCCACCCAGCCAACCTTCTTCTTCAACCTTCTTCGTATACAAGGGCCAGCCAATCAGAGGAAGCTGAAAATTAAACTGTGACTCATGCAAATCTGCTCTAGTAGAGTTCAGGAATACAAATATGGAGTATTAAAAGTGAAGACATCAACAAACAGCTTTGATTTACTAATAAATAAATAAAAAGCAATGGTGGGTGTCTTAAAGCTGATGAATATGGAGCATAAAGGACCCCCCCCCCACACACACACACACACGTGATTGTGATGTATAACGCCTTCGTTAATGTCACATCGACTCGTTTGTGCCGCGGCGTTTTGACTTTGTTGTAATTCTGCTGACTGATTGTGTCGCTCTCTGTAATTGATTGGATGTTTCCGAGCGCGCCCATTGATTCAATTGATTCTGTATAATGACTAATTATGATCATTACATGTGTTCTGATTCATTACTGTTGGGCTGCAGTGATTTACTGTTGTTTTTGCTTTGTGGTAATTATGGTGGCAGACTGTCTCGTGCTGAGGGTTTCTGTTGTTATGTAAGAGCAAGAAAACACACTAATGTGTCTCCAAGCCGTCCTCACAGGGTTTGAACTGACCTGGGACTAAAGAGGACTCATTAAAACAGGAATATTTAATGTGTTAAAGACATTTTGTCTAATGGTGATGCTTAAATGTGTTTATGCGTCCAGAAAAGTTTTTAAAAACTCAATTAGCCCCCCCAGAAAAAGCCTTAGAATAAATCGTGCTGTTACTTGATTTACTGATGGATAAATGTGAAGCGCCTGTCTGACCCTCGGTTTCATTTCGTCATTTATAAAGTTCCTGAACATTAAAGTCAAACACTGGACATTAGATTGTTATTTTCTGTCCTTAACAAGAGCACTTTTATGATCATTTAGTCCCCAGTATGGAAGGACGGAGACGGCACATATGTCACAGGTTTATTATCAGCTTAGAATAAAGTCTGTAGTGTTCATTTGTCTGACTCTGTGGGCAGTGATGCAGCTGACACACAGTCGTTCTCCTGCTCCTGATCCTGTAAAGCTTTAGACACGTAACACACTGATCAGTGATCAATCATTGGTCGTGTTGTAATCAATCACAGGGATGGAAAAATGTCTGTCACAGCTGAACCTCAGAGATGAGTATCTGAGTGAAGAAGAGGCTGAAATGACTTTGAGACTCTAAAACTGAACTAAAATGTAACTACTGATTGTAATCAAATTACATTTAATGTTGAAATGTGTTTACAGACTGAGATTCAGTCATTAAAAATTAAGGTCTCCACATTTCACCGAAATCAGTCTCAGCGGCTTCACAGAACCAGATCCGCCTGAACGCAGTCTTCCTGCTCAAAGGGAGTTTTTCCTCCCCACTGTCACCAAGAGCCTGCTCAGAGGGGGTTGTTACAGCACATGCAGATCAGTTTCATATTATATTTAAGCAACAGTATCAGGCTGCTACCATGGCTGCACAGGGGCACTGACTGTGCTGTACGGTGTGTAAATTTGGCTCCAATATTATCTGTTTTGATCGGTTTGTGTCTTAAAAGCCCTTTTTAATGGTTTCCATAATGAGTGTGCGTGTGCGTGTGTGTGTGTGTGTGTGTGTGTGTGTGTGTGTGTGTGTGCGCGCGCTGCAGGTCTTCTGGGTATGGTGGCCCACATGATGTACACCCAGGTGTTCCAGATCACAGTCAGTCTGGGTCCTGAAGACTGGAGGCCTCACAGCTGGGACTATGGATGGTCCTTCTGGTCAGTCCACAGCCCCCCACACACATTAACCCCTAACTAGCTTCACCCCAACATTAAACCTGTGTCCATAATAACGTTTAATGACTGTCTGTCAAAGATGTTAAAGTTCTTCATGTTATGGCTGCCAAATATTTGATATGAAGAATGGAATGTGTCTGACAGGCCACAGAGTCCATATTTATGTAAGAATTCAACAAAATGACACATAGATGTTCACAGACAGACGCATCACGTCTCCAAATACCTCGTTGTAATGACTGTTGGTGGAGGTGTGCAGCCGCCTGTCAGCAGGTGGTCTGCAGGTACGCAGGGAGCTGCTGTTAATAATTGTCTTTGCTCTCTGCTGAAAGCTGAGCTGCAGCTGCTGAGTTCCAACAAAGTCCTTTTTTGAACAGAGAGAAGAAGCGACTGTGCCTTTATAAAGAGGTGCATAAGTGATACAGATGAGCAGAAGTAAAGAAGCACAAACATGGATTTCATCCAAACACGAGTAAAGCAGGACAGAAGGAGGGAAACACCTGGAACGAGAACACCTGCTCCTGTTAATAGAAAGATTTTCAGTGTTAGTCATTTAAGCGAAAGCCTCCATTTACCACCACGAGGGAGCCATTCAGGATCGTTAAAGTGGAAAGGAGGATTAACCTCTGCTGGAACAGAAGGCCAAAACGCTCCTTCAGGATGAATGAAACGATGATGGACGCTTGATGTGCACTCAAACTTTCTGCTTAAAGCTCCACTGAAAGCAATAACCTTAATTTGATTTTAGCACGAGCAGTGTTATAGAAATAAGAGAAAATGCTTAATATGAAGATGGGGAAAAAAACACAAACAAAGCAGCTCTTCATCTGCTGGCAGGAGGTCGCTGGAAGGTTTTCTAGCTCTGTGCCTTTAGAACAGTTTGTGCTGAAGACACAGAAAAGGCCGAGTGTTTTTTCACGGGGAAACAACCTCTGTGTCACGTTCAGACAAACTCATCAGGACTGAGCGTAACCCCTGTTACGCCTCTACTGTGAGGACCTTCTTTATGCTTTGCAGTAAGAGAAGTCTGTTTCATTTATGTTGTTAAAGACATTATAGTCCAAATTATTTTGGATATTTTTTAATAACCCCACCACATCTACCTCTGGTTCTTTGGTTTTCATTTGAATCACATTTAAAGACAAAGAAAAATCCCCTGAGAAAAGGCAGCGGAGCTTGTGGAGGTACAGTGTGTGGCTGACGGAGCAGACATGCTCAGGAGGGATTTGGTGAGAAACAAAACTCAGGGAGGCAGTAAAAACTGCAGTTCCTCTAGCGCCCAGCAGGGGCTGCAGGAGCAAGTCCCCATAGACTCCCATGTTAAAATGTCCAACTACAGCGAAACAAACATGTTTACAGTCTGATTTAAAACAAAAAAACAAACACACACACACACAAAACAAAAACAAAATTGTTGAGGCTTAAAGTTAGGGGCGTGGCCTTTTTGACTGACAGGTGCTAGCTGGATGTAAAGCGATGTCCTTTTAAAACACTTAAAAATAAACGTCTGGTGCTTGGTGTGAAAATTCAGTGCTGGACAAATAAAAGCTGCACTATCCGAAAGGCTTTAAAGTATTTTACAGCTCTGGATTACCACTGCACAGTTTTTAGATGTTAGTTCTACTTGGTTTGTGTTTTTATTTATTTTGTTTGAAATTCAGTTTAGTTTCAGTTAGTTTCTACAGAGGTTTCAAACTCATTTTTATTAGTTCAGTGTTAGTTTTAGTCTTTTTAATGATTACTGTGTTTGGAGGACATATGCCAAATATTCATTTTATACTTAATAAACATATCAAAGATTCGTCAGACTGTAATATTAAATGTTAACGAACTAAAACGTTGACTATAATAAGCTTGTAGCTCCAACAGTAATCGGGTGTAAAACTGAAATGTAATCAGTAAACAAAAGAAATAAAGAAACAGTGTCATCGACTGAGGGTAATTTATATGTTTTACGTTGCGGTGACTTGTTATATGCTTCACTGCGGTGCTATACGTGAAGATTTATTGCTGTAATTTCATACTGTTTATTTGGTTTTGCCTTTAAACAGTTTCTCTGCTTCCTCTGAGGAACAGTAATGGTTCAGTTATAAACATAATCCTACAAAAGGGAAGGGAAAGTGATTGAGTTTATAGCGTATTATCCAAATTACATCGCACTATGGATTCCTGTTGTCCCAAGATAAAAAGTGATGGATTTTATGCGTCATTTCGTTTTATCTCGTGGTTTTCTTGCTCAGCATGTTTAAAGACCTTTGCCTGTTTTTTTGTGCTGTAGAGCATTTATTTCCCACACTGTTTGCTCAACATTAGGCTCTCCAGAGTCACCACACACTCTGAGGTAGCTGAGCATCGATCATCGTCCTGCTAATATGTGAAGGAATGAAGATGAAAAGCTCAGAATTACATTTCGCGGTCGATTTGGGAACACATCGGTGTTCCCCAGCAGACCTGGAGGCTGGGGGACTGAGCTCTGATGAACAAACGATGCCCTTGTTTGTTTGTGCTGAATCGAAAGATTATTTTATTTTAAATGGGAGCAAAAAAATCTATAAGTGTGCAAGTTCTCAGTCATTCAGTTCATGGTAGTTTGTGTTGGTAGAAGGTGAAGATGTTTCACCTCTCATCCAAGACGGTTCTTTAGACACAAAAGGTCGAAGGTCCCTATCGACTCCTAGTGGGCGTTGTTTCTGTCTATGTGGTCCAGATGATGGTTGGCCCACCACTGACTATGTGAGTCGTCACATAACCCACGGTTTGAAAAGGGGTGTGGGTAATTACCGTCACTGGAGGTTAAGGGTAAAACCACAGGCCCAATCTATGTGACCTACATAAGTCCAGTTGCCTTCTTCTTTCAAGCTTTCAAGTAAAATTCTAATTACATTTTTCCAAAGATATATTTCATACTTATTGATTTCTTCTCTCTTATTCCACTCAGCATGGCGTGGGGATCCTTCACCTGCTGCATGGCCGCCTCTGTCACCACCCTCAACTCCTACACCAAGACTGTGATCGAGTTCAGACACAAGCGGAAGCTCTTCGAGCAGGGCCTGCGTGAGGAGCAGAACTACCTGGACCAGGAAGCTTTCCACTACTTCCGGGACCGTTCACTCCAGTCCATCTCCAGCACCGTGGAGGTCTACCCCGGCCACAGCGGCACCAGAGCCGGGCTTGTTGTCGGGGGGCCCGGCGCGGGCCCCGGTCCAGGTCCCGGACCGGGACGCGGGAAGATGAGAGCGGGGTCTGCCTCAATAGACTTGGGGGAGAACACGGACTCACTGGGGGAGGAGCAGTGCTGAGTCACACATTGGAATGAGGGGATTGACTGGGTTGGGGGCGTGGCTACACGATGAGGTGAACTGCACCTTCACATGTGGACCCGGCCGCTAGTTTGTCCACTGTAACTGAAAGCAGAGGCAGAACTTATTTTCTGTTTTAAGAGGACAACTAAAAGGCAGATTAAACATGGATTACAAAAAGAAAATACAAATGTTCTCGCTGTGTGTGAAGTGAAAGTCAGTGTAAAGTGTGAGAAATAGACTGTGGGTGAAAGTAGGCGTTCTCCTGCTTATTTTGAGGTGCTGTGTGTAGTATTTTAACATCAATACATCGTCACAGTTTTGAAAAATGGTGAAAGCCTTTGCTGAATAGCGACCCTTGTAGCAAGAAGCGGAAATTACGGTGGCCCTGAAGTCCAAAACACAGAAGTATTTCAGAAAATACAAGAATGTTTTCATTAAGGTTTCTTCTTTGTTACCAGCAAACACCCTTGAACATCCTTCTTGGACTTTCTGGCAAACACAATTATGTGTCCGCCAACTGTTTAATATTATCCATGTAAAATAAAAAAATATATTTTTATTTATTTATTTATTAAATAAAAGATTCTTGGGAGGAATTAAAGAATTACATTAAAATTATAATAATTAAAAAAACATTATGAATAATTTATTAATCATTTATATCAAATTAATTAAGAATCAAATGTAATTGTGTTTAAAACTAGATTTCTGATTACGCCGCATCCCTCCTGAAGGAGATGGTAAAACATGACTGTTCGTGGAACTTTTTTTTTTAAAAATCCAAGAAAAATGAATATTATCAAACTGTTGCTATGAAATGTATGAACAGCTGCATACCCTGTTATTGGACTATACACAGTATAAACGTTATTTGTGGTGTCTTCAGCAGTAACGATAATTTATTCACAGTTAATTTTTGTGTGTGTATGTGTGTGTTTTGCACCTCAGGGCCACCGTAGAGGAACAGCAATATCTAATTTAGCTAACATTAGCCACATATGCTACTTGTCATATCAGACCGAGTTGTACTGCTGACGTGCTCGAGCATGTTTGTCCCCCGAGTCCACTTCGATGGAGTGCGATCACTTTGCAGTTGGGATGGTCGTGATTTTTAAATATTCAAATAGTCATTAAAATATTTAAAAAACGCAAATATGTTACACAACTTTCTTGTCTTAAAATTGTTTTCAACAGACACAACTGATGCAGTTTTAGAATAATTACTACTCATTATTTGTTACATTTTTTAAAAAATGTAACAAATATGTTACTTAATTACTGATTTCTTATCACTTTCTTTGTTGTGGGTGCTGGGCTGTGAACACACTTTACACCACAGGCAGTATAAAGATGAACGTAGTTACTGTGACACCACCTGTTGGTTTTTGAAGACAGAGAGGAGGTATTCCTAATACAGAAGCCCCGCCCACCTGTTGTTCAAATCTTCTTTTTTTGGTTTAAAAGTTTGTTTCAGATCTATGATGGGCGGGGCTGAGTCATGCAAAGCTGCTGTAGTAGGGTCCAATGAGCAGAAACAGCCACGCTAAATATGCAAAACAATATTTTGAGTTCACTCCTTCCTGTGTTAACAGATGATAAATCATTAAACTACATCATCCCAGCCACATTTATTTGGCGCAGTAGTGAACAAGCCTGCAGTAGACATGCTATTAGATTAACACACTGGCTTTGTAGCTCATGTGAACTCTCGATTTTCCAGGTCAAATCAGTCCCTGGAGAATCTCCCGGGAAAGCAAGACTGCCAACCGATCAAGCATGCTCCAAGCCATGCTTCTTTGTGAGCCTCGGTATCTCTTATCTGATGTAGTCTGCAGAAAGATGAGGCAAAGTTTAGCGAGAGAGAAACACAGAAACTGTGGGAAATCAAGAAAAGCTGGCCTCAGGACAGGAAGCAACAGAGATTATGATTATTTTTGGCCTGAGTCAGATTAAAATGAAATACCACACGTTGCACTTTTACAGGTCGTGTTCAGGCCACATCCTGTTGCTGACGCTGAATGTGGAGCTGGTGTTTAAACTAAAATCTTGAGCGCTGAGGGTTCAGTCCAGTCTTCTTTCATTTCTTTGCCTCCATCAACCACCAGCTTCCAGGACTGACAAAAGAAGCCACTGAAGAAGACCTGCAGTTTCTTGAGTCAGTGTTTGCAGATACATGTGTTAAAATCTCCAACTTTACTGCAGTAATGCACATGTAACCCAGGCTTTAGGCTGATAAATTAGTCCTCCACCATCTGATCCAAATGCGGCAACTTCTGGTCCCCAAAACAGTCCACAAGTTGCCGACATTCACCTTTTTTCGATACACATGATTTAAAAAAAAAAAGGTGCTTTATTTTACTTATGAATTAATGCACTCTATTATTTTTACTAATTACATTTATTTTTCCAAAGAAATTCTCAGTTGAATGTTAACATGTTAAATTTCACTAGGAAACACTTTATGGATAAAGATCTACTGGGTAAAAGAAGCAAGGAAACACGATGAAAACACCTCGGTACACATAAAACTATAATATTGGAAAATTGTGCATAAAATATCAAAGGTAACAATGTTTCTTCTGCAGAATAATGTCCATAAATTAAAGGTAGAGTGTTGATAAAACAGCTGGATAAACATTTTAGATTCAGTCATTCGCACGGATGCTAATCCGAGACTGCATCCGCTCAACTTGCCTGTTTTATGGACATGGTGAGCGCTGCCGTCCTTCATCATCATCACAGCTTTCCTAACTAATGAATGTATCAAAGGAGTTATTAACAACTTTTAAAACTCCATCTTCTCTACATCACGCATGTTAGCAAGAAGCTCGTTTACCTGCTAATGCTAGCTGTGTGTCCATACAGCACGATCTGATATCGTCGTGTTGGTGTTGTTCCCAGATCAACATAGTAAATGTTGCTCCAGGATCAACATTGCAAGTGACCAATCAGAATGTTGTGATGTCATACTTTTGCGACTTCGGGAAAAACCGCCGTAAAACAAAAAACTGTAGTTAAGCTGTGAGAAAGCTCCTCTGTCCGCCGATCAATGGACCCTCACCCTCACCCTAACCGTAACCCTTTAATAAACGGTAAGCAGAACTGATATTGTCCTTGCAACATTGGAATTTCATAAATGCACACATGGCTTGGCGCGCCAAATGATAACGTCACAACAATGTGATTGGTCACTTGCAGTGTTGAACCTGGAACAACATTTTCATGATGATCTGGGAACAACACCAACACGACGATATCAGATCATCCATAGATACAAAGTGCAGGTGGTTACTGATCTCAGAGCAGTAACAGCTGAGCCAGAGGCAGTTTGCTCTCCCATCAGTTTACAGTAAAAACCAGCAATGTGCAAACCACAAAAAGCTGCTGGAGACCAGTCCAATCACCACTGAGACAGATCAGTTGGTGGAACTACTCAGTGCAATCACCAAGCAGCCGTGATTTTTCAGAGTTCAAAGTAAGTTAGCGTCCTATTTTTAATAAGTGTAACTGACCCATAATACACATACCATACATAAAAAGTGCTGATAAAGGCTGTGGAGACCTTACCTGTTTCCTTCAACGTGTGTCTGACTGGGAGGTTAATAATCTCTCTCTCTCTGGGACTCCATTTATCCTGATTTAACTCGCTCAGCTAATCCTCCCTCTCTGCATGTCTGCCGGCCATCACGCTCCACAGAGTCCATTCATCACATCAGATGTTATGGATCAAAGCGAGTCTAATCAACACGTCTGTAAGATGTGGGCGGGAGAGAAATCCATAAATGCAGGTCGGCGTGGCGGAACAAATCAAAACAGTTCAGGTAATAATGCTAATTAGTTTTTAAAATTGGAACTCGGGATTTCATGCACTCGGATTAGTAAATTTGCCCTCATATTATTTAATTTTCTCCCTTGAATGAATCATTAGAGTGCACATGAACAGTCTGTGTAAAGAGATATTAAAAGACTTATAACAGCTGAAGGTCTAAAAAACAGATATTAATGTCAGTCAGTGAATTAAACATGGAGATAAAATTCATTGATTTAAAACAAATTCAATATAAATGATACATTGTACTTAATATTTAATTAAAAGATGATATAAATATTTAAGTAAATACATTCAATGCTAATGTTTTTTTTAACAGACACCGGTGTACAGAGGACTCACGACCTTCCACAAACCGACCGTTTTCAGTCAGGCAGCTTTAGACGTTCTGTTTGGATTATGTTGGCCCCAAAATCTCAGCCAAAACAATCCTCGCTGTTTCCAATCCATGCGCTTACATAACACACACACTGGGCATCTTCAGGCAGCGCTACACTGTTAGTGACTGTTCTCGTCTGTTCAGGTGACTAACAGATTATTTGTTTTTTTCTCAGTTTTCTTATCTTGGTTGAGTCATTTCATCAGATTTTTACATTACACATATACCAATAAAATCCAGAGACTGTATAAAGAAGATGGACATAGCCACCGTGATGTCATGATGTCTGTGGGGAAATTCCTGAAGGCCAGAAAGAGACTTATGGTCCTACGGAAGTCTGCGGTTAGAGGGCAGCCCTGGTTCTCTGTGACATCGATAAAAAACTTTCTGACTTTATGGGCTGAATCCCAGGTCTCAGAACAAACTGAATAAAACATGAACTAATATCAGAAAATCATCACGGAATATGGAGCTGCCAGGCAGGAGGAAAAGAGTGAAGAGTCATAGATGTAGTCAAGGAGGACATGGAGAAGATTGGTGTGGCAGAGGAGGATGCTGGGATACTTCTTCACTTCTCAGTAGTACATGGGGGGTGTGATAGGCTCGGGAGCCGCCACCAGTACCCTCCTAGGCTTTCCTCAATTCATGTTCAAGCCATTCACCTTTATCTACTAAAAAAACACTGTCAACCCTAAACCCTGTTGGTAATTGACTTCATCATGCGACGATCAGTTGACCCAGCTGGCATCGGTGTGCCCTGGCACGAAGCGCGTAATCTCACTGACTTGGACTTCGCAGATGACGTCGCCCTGCCGGGCTCGACTCAGGAAGACCTCCACGGCCCTGCAGAGGGAGGCGACGAAAGTTGGATTAAGAATCAGCGCCAAAAAAACCAAGGTACTCCGAGTTGGCTCTGCACGTGCCCGCATTCCTGTCATGATCAACCAACAACGTGCTGAAGAGGTGGAGAATTTTACATATCTTGGCAGCATCATCTCGAATGACGGGGTCTCTGATCGGGATGTCGACGCCAGAGTAGGGAAGGCAGTTGGTGTCCTGCGACGTCTCCAACCTATTTGGAACTCGACCTCCCTGAATGTCAGGGTCAAGATCAGACTACTGAACTCTATCGTCTTCCCTACTGCACTTTACGCTAGTGAAACCTGGCGCTCAACAAGTGCAATTATTCAACACCTGAACGTGGCCTGCGGCGAATCCTGAGAATTTCCTACTGGGACCGAATAACAAATGAGGCGGTCCTACGAAGAGCAGGCACCCGCCCATTAGCCGATGTTGTTGCAGAAAGGCGCTTCCGCTTTGCGGGCCATATTTCACGCCTACCCCCTCATCGCCCAGCTAAGATTGCCATGACATGGCGTCCACGCACTGGCAAGCGAAAGCAAGGCCGACCAAAGACCACATGGCGTCGAACATTCACGGACGATCTGAGAACTGTCGACATTACCTGGGACGAAGCTGAAGCAGTCGCTGCTGACCGACATCGATGGAGATCACTAGCTGCCCGATGTGCCGCCCGGCGTAGGAGGAACTAAGACTAAGACTAACCCTAAAATGAAGACGTGGGCACAGCTAGTGAATCACAAGTTGTGGGGAAAAATGTGGCTGGTGAGTGGTTTCTGGCTGTCATGGGTGTAAACATTGGGTGGTTATAAAGAGTGTGCTGCACCAATCCGGTCTTCAAGTCTGACGTCATTAGCCGTGCCTGGGCCCAAACACTGCTGCAGGTCCCGGAGTCAAATAATCACTGCAGCATTACTGAGAGTTGAAAAACTGTCTGAATTCTTTCATCTGTAATCATGGGTATCCTTCACTCTCATTGGTAGCTGCTTCAGTCCTCACCTAAAGTTTACAAAAGTTTATTTCACCCGTAGTCGCTTATCAGGCTTTATGATTGGATGATGTATTTTGAGATATAGGCCATTTCAAACAGCAGCATCATCTAAAAAAAATTAGATTTAATAAACTGCTGACAACTCTGCTGCCCAGCGACCATTACTGAGAGGAAAACATCCAGTGATATATAATCTCACCGACACACTGATAGAATCATGGAGCTACCCACACAGTCCAAATATTTAAACATTTACTCACTTTTTTATTAAAAATGTCTAAAACCTTGGAAGCATTTTATTTGCTGGAGTCTTACGGATGCTTAGTATCTGCCTGCTGGATAAAAGGAAAGTTATTAAACTTCTGTTCTGCTGTGTGTCTCCTCTTCCTCCTCAGTGGGAATCTGCTGCTGCTGAGCTGTTTTCTTAAAATGGTTGTTTGGTTCAGCTAATTAACTAAATTGGCTAATTAAGATTTTTAAACTCTGCGCAGCTTTACTCTCAGAAAAACATCCAGTCTCATTCACCCAAACATTGCATGAATGCAGCAAACATAGCTGTTAATAAAAGGTGTGCCTGCTGGAACAGGCGGTCTGTGAAACCAGCAGGTACTTATTTAATCAATAGTGTGGCGTAATCAATACTGATCAGTGCAATCACCTGTTTCTGACATCTTCACCACTCAGAGACATGCAGAAAATAATAAGGAGGAGACAAGCGCTTCATTTCCAAACCGTCACTTCAACAATGGAGCTGTGATTAAAATGAATGGCTGGTGCTGTTTTTGTGTTTGTGTGCAGCAATCAGTCTCTTTGGTGTGTTCAGCAGATTAATCTAGCGCTGAAAGAAGGTGATTTATTCACTAATGTCACAGCAAGAATTCCTTTCTGCTTTGTCCACTCAGATATAATGACGCATGGGAAATTCATCTAAATTTTAAAGTGCTTCTGCACCGCAGACGCAGTCTAAATATACTCCAGGAAAGGTGAACTCAAGCAGATAATAATTACAGCAGACAGTAAAGAACAAGGGAAGGAAATAAAAAAATGGAAAGCAGCATGAGGACACAGCCTTCAAAATTAAACCTGAAATAACTGAAAGAGGCCAAATATATCCACACAAGCATTTTAGCAGCGACTGGGGCAACACAGAAAGCAAACAAAAGAAGGAAACACACAAGTCCCAAAGTGCTGCAAGATGCAACAATAAATAAATCTAAATTGAAGTGAGCCTGCACAGGTGGGTCTTAATGTAACAGAGTGTAAAGGTTTCACTGGTAGATGCCAGTAGATTTCATGTAGACTGTCCTCCATAATGATCACAGCCGGCTGGCATGTTTTTACCATTATTTATGTAAAAAAAAACAGTTTTGTACAGACTATATTTTTAATAAAATTAGCATTTAGCAATGAATTAGATCAACTTAAAACGAGATACTCTCGCCAT